CAGGACCCAATGATTTCCGTGCCAGTGAGATTGGCATGCCATCTGTGGAAGGGAAGGTTGCTGGGGTAAATAGTGGAGATTAATTGGTGAATATTCAGCTTTTTTTTGCTTGATTACTTTGTGAAGTCCTGTAGCGTATCGGTTAGAGCACTCGCCTTGCAAGCGAGAGGACCCAGGTTCAATTCCCAGGCAGAGTGAAACCTTAGGCAAGTTTCCTTACTCCACACGCCTCTGTTTACCTAGCAGTAAGTAGGAACCGGGGTTAGTCGATTGGCAGATTGCTTTCTGGGAGCAATAATCCCTTTTTAAAAAAAAATCAAAAAACAATAGTTTGGTCACTCAATCCATGGCAGGTTGTGCAACACTGCTGTGTGCAATTGGCTGCTGCATTTCGCCCACAAAATATACAGTCAATTCACTTTATAGTATATCCTGTGAAGTGCTTTTGAGACATTTCAATGTGATAAGGCGCTATATCAAATGCAAGGTTTATTATTATTCATTTTGGTTTCATAAAATATCTGCATCCTGTTTCCCAGGAGATCAAACAGGTGGGGGTTCTTTGAATAGTGTATGTTTTATCCTGTTTCCCATTACACTCTCTGGCCTGAAATTATTATAATAAATAATTCTGCATTTGTCTTGTATCCAATTCCGTTCTTTCCTCCTCTTGTGATCCTTGTACACGCCCTACAGAATATTTGCGATGGAACACATTCAAAGACTGAATTGAAGAGTGTCTGAGGTAGGAGGTTACAATTGTGCTTTGTGGAATAAATCAGCAAGGATGAAGGTGGTAAAGGATAAAAACATTTAACAACACTGGAGCAAGAAGCTGAATTTAAGTGAAATTAGCTGGCAGTTTGTTGTACATCTTACCTATTGAAATTTTGTTTTTGTGGGGTGGGAGAACCATTGCAGGCACTGTAAATAACATCTTGAAAATCCCTTCTATAGCTGTTGTAAATTTTGCCATACACAAAGCTTGTAAGAAGCTCGATCAAATGGCTACAAGCTGTTCAAACTTTACATGGTTATATTAGGAAAGATGGAATATGGGAGAGAAATCAGCAGCAGACAATGCTAAAATATGTAATGTAGAATGCCGACATCTACAGATTGAATTTCACCCTGTGACTGCACAAAGAAGTGGCTTGAAAAGGCTGTGCAGATGAGCAAACAAGTGGTTCATGATTGCTCTACTGTGCTAGAGTGGTATGTACATTTTTAAATGGAAATCACGCAAACATGTTCTCTGCGAACTACATTCCAGCACGAAATGTAATTTACATTGCGCATAGCTTGAGGCAGCACTTATTATATGTGGTCTTATAAAGGTTAAAAATAAACATCAATTTACCCTGAACAAAATGCAATTAAATTGGCTGTCAATTAACTTTTTAGCACAAGGCTTCTGATGATACAGCAAAAGTATTGTTAAAGCAGAGATTGAAGGATTCAATGAAAATGAAATGTGTTCAGTTTTTTTTGTGGTGGCCAAACAATCCTCCTGATTAATTGGTCATTTGCTTCATGACTGTTTTGTGGGATCCTGCAGCTGCAAATGGCTGTTATGTTTGCTCACAACAAAAACACTTGGCAGTAATTATTGGTGAAGTACTTTGAGACTTTTTGAGGTGATAGGGTGTTATAAAAATGCAACAAATGTTAATTAAAAGAAGATGCTCAGGAAGATGAAATATAGGAGATAATCTATCCAAGACATCACGTGTCCCTGCTTTTCATGGTAAAATTAGATATTTTGGCGTGCTCATTCACCAACAATGGTATTTTCATCCCAACTCCTTTTGTGCGAGAGAGCGATCAGTCAGGCTGCCACTGAAGATGCCAACACTTCAGATGAAAACAACAACAACTTGAATTTATATAGCACCCTTCGTGCAGGGTGGCATCTCAGAGAACTTAAAACAAGTTGCTCCACATAACATCTGAATCTACATCATTATTTTGCTTACATTTTGTGCTTCATTTCATTCTTATTGTGTTGTATTCAGTCGATCCATTATAAATGCTGCAACACAAGTTGTGTTCTGTTCTGAATATTCAGCATTTGTATTGCTGGGGGACCAGAGTCTGATAGACTGATTAGGGCACCAACTATTCGTATCAGATGCATGGACAGGTTGGGCTGCATTGCCATGGTAGGGTGTGGGGTGTTTAGTTAGCGCATGCATTCTTTGCTTCCAGATACACAATTTTAGTTTAGTTGTGTGACTGTGATCTGGCGATGTATAGTAACTGTTTGTTCAGCAGTTTGTTACAGGCACAGGGTACAGTTAAGAATCTGAACGAGAGTCAGGAGAGTCAGCGAGAGAGTGAGCAGACACACAGTAAGAGAAAGCAAAAGAGGTGAAGAGAGAAGTAGAAAACTAATTTGTATTTTGTGTTATGACAAGGTACCTGCTCTGTCAATTTTCACATCTTGAATGGGGACCTGTGCAAATCAGTATAGGTATTAGGCTTGCTGCTGTAGGTATTTTTGTTTAAAAATGTTTATTAAATTCTGTTTAAGCATCCAGTAAACAATAGTGCTGAGTACTTTGTAGACATAAACAGAAACCAAATCTGCAAGCTTGACTGCTATTTACAGCTATAAACATTGTGAATTATGCACATGAAATTAAACTGGGAATTTAAGTTCAGGTGAATCTACCAAAGCCCAGGTAGATTGGGTTGTCAACTATTTGTGCGACACCAGGGTCTAATTTATGTGTTGGGTTAATTGTATATAAAAACATGTAACAAAATTTTTCATTTTGTGTGAAAACATGTATACAGATGGAATGACAGATGCTCTTAATTATGTAATTAAGAACCGATGGAAAGGATTACAAAGTGATTTCAACAGAGATCACTGAACAGCAAGCACTCCAGCAAGTTGTTAATGCCTCTGCTATCTACTCTGCTTTTTTAATTTTCTGTGGTCGGAGGGAGACCAGGCAATGGTCCAAGTAATTGACAAAATGGTGGTGGTGAGAGCGTGCAAGACAACAGTAACTTTACTTCTATATAGTACCTTTCACATCGAAAGGAAGTCTCCTAGCGCTTCATAGAATCAGCACAATACCAATATCAGAGGTGGAGAAATCTGAGGAAAGAGGGGGTGTCCAAAAACTTAGTTGAAAAGAAAGGTCTTCAGATGGACTTTGAAGGTGGGTGTGAATGGGGAAGTCTTGCTGCAATTGTATAGGGCTTCGGTGAGACCGCACCTGGAATATTGTGTGCAGTTTGGGTCTCCTTTTCTAAGAAAGGACAAACACACCTTAGAGGGGGTGCAACTTAGGTTCACTAGTTTGGTTCCTGGGATGAGGGGATTGACCTACGAGGAGAGTTTGAGTAGACTAGGCCTATATTCTCTAGAATATAGAAGAATTAGAGGTGATCTTATAGAAACCTGTAAGATTCTTAGAATCTTGATAGGGTTGATAGTGTGAGACTGTTTTCTCTGGTTGGAGAATTTAAAACTAGGGGTCATAGTCTCAAGATTAAGGGTCAGCCCTTCAGAACTGAGTTGAGAAAATATTTCTTCACTCAGAGGGTAGTGAATTTATGGAATGCTCTACCCCAGAAACCTGCGGATGCTCAGTCATTGAACATACTCAAGACTGAGATGGATAGATTTTTAAAAACTAAAAGATTTAAGGGAAATCTTTTAGTTTTTATGGGGAGAGGGCGGGTAAATGGAATTAGGTTAGTAGATCAGCCATGCTCTTATTAAATGGCGGGGCAGGCTCGAGGGGCCGAATGGCCTACTCCTGCTCCTATTTCTTATGTTCTTATGGGAGGAGGATGATGGAATGGGAAGTCAGTTGAGGGGGTTGATGGATTGGAGATTCGTGGGGGGAGGTGGGTTATGAACTGGGAAGTCATGGGGTGGGTGGTGGGGGCTGATCCGCTGGGCAGTGAGTAGGGGTGACTTATGACTTTGCTAAAATTCAAGGCAATGCAAATGAGAGCTTTTTTTTAAACAAGCCTTGATACATTGGAGTCTGGCTCAGATTCTGACTTTAGGTCAAAACTCAAACAGGTTGGAAATACAATTGGTAAAAATCAGTCTTCTATCTGTCATTGCGTCTGAAACGCTTATTTTTCATCTTTGGTATAAATCCACCATATCTCGGCCTCCAGTTTCATTGCACATATTTACACTGGGGGTTCTTTTTAAAAAAATCATACTAACTTGTAAATTTTTTAAACCCATTTTCAGATGGTCAGAATGAATTACTTGTGATTCTACACATCGACTATGACTCCACACAACAGCCATATAAAATTTATAATAAAGGTTAAGCGGTTATTTAATTTACTTGGTTAAAGCAGGATTTTATTTTAAATGTTCCCCGTGATCTCTTTCAATGTTCGTCATGAGGCTTTCACTTTGGTCATCTTTCCCAATCCCGCTTGGCTCCCACCTCCAGCTCGGGTACTGCGCTAGGATTGTTAAACTCCTTGGGATATCCTCCCAACATGAAAGGCGCTATATAAATTTGCATTGCATTGTTGACTTGGAATCCCGTAATATAGTGGTTAGTGAGAGACCTGGGTTCGATTCCCGGCAGGGCGAAATGTTGAGTGAGTTTCCTTACTCCACACGCCTTTTCTTTACTAAGCAGTAAGTAGGAACACATTTGTGGCTCAATTGGCAGATCACTTTCCGTGGATAAAAATGTTAGGGTGAGTTTATACCTTTTTTTAACTTTAATTATTATTTTTAATAATCCTTGAATTTGATATAGCGCCTTTCACTTCAGGGCTGTGTATTTTGTAGGCAAATATGTCAAACAGTTTGCGCACAGCAATGTCCCAGAAATAGCTTTGAAGTGAATGACCCTATTTTATCTGGCAGATTGTTGACCAAGACACTGGGGGAAACTCCCTTCTTTTCAAATAATCATTTGAATTTGTATTCGTCTCCATTCACACATCAGCATTTTTGAAAAAAATATAAAAGTGACTTATATCGATGTATTTTTAAACAGGGAGAAAGGATCAGATGCGTCGTGGAGAAATGACCAGGAGCCACCACTTGAGGTGAGTGTGATTGCACAGCTTGTCTTGTTTTCTTCTCAGGTCACAGGGTAGTGATTTTCCAGCTCATAAATATACACTACATGACTCAAAATACAAAGGTAAAGTATGGTTCAGTCACCTACATTGACTCCTTGTTGTTATCTTCCTTGAACTCTCCAATTCATTCAGAGAGAGGTGATAAACCTGAGTAACAGCTCATGGTCTTTTACATAAGGCCAGACCACATCTTAAGCAATGCATAGTTGTCTAAGCCCGTCACCCCAATTCTCGGGAGGCTTCTCCTCAGCCCCACATATAATACTACTACTACTACTAATAATAATCCTTGCATTTGATAAATATAAATTTGATAAATCCCTTCAGGCATTAACACCTCCCTATCTCTCTGATCCCACATGATCCCTCCATTCAGTGCATCCCCTGCCTTCTCTACGTCACCATCATTAAGCCCCTAACCTCTGGAACTCTGTGTGTCTATTCCTCCAACTCACTCTCTATCTTTAAATCCCAACTTAAAACTTCTTCAACCGCATCTTTGGTCACCTCGCTTGCTCGGCATGTAACCCTGCCACTGTGAAGGACTAGGAGACATTATCCTACTTGAAGGTATATATAGTTAAAATCCATTTTTAAACAATATACAACATAGACCTTCCATGAACACTATTTTGCTCACTTTTCTTTGCTATTCTGTAGCTCAGTGGTTAGAGCACTCGCTTTGCAAGCGAGAGACCTGGGTTCAATTTCCAGCAGGGCGAAACCTTGGGCAAGTTTCCTTACTCCACACGCCTGATAATAATCCCTCAAGAAAAAAACAATAATAATTTGGTCATGCAGTTGAGGGTTTTAATCCATTTTATTTTCTGTCCGTAGCGGATCAATAGCAACTTGCATTCAGGTAGCACCTTTCACATAGAAGCACATCTGAAAGCACTGCATGGAATGAGAATAATCAGAAATTCCCAAGTGTAATCTCTAAGAAAATAAATAACTTGAATTTTAATAGCATCTTATCACATTGAACTTCCCAAACGCTTCGCAAGTCATTTTTTGTCAAATACATTGACTTGATTTAAAGACAAACACTGCAGGCAATTTGCGCCAGCAAAGTCCTTGAAGCATGAAGTGAATTAACAATTTTATATGGACGATTATTGGCCAGGGTATCTGGAGAAACTGTCTTTGCTTTTCAGGCAGTCCCAAAATGCTGTGAATATTAAGTTGTAGTTATTTGTCAATACCGAATATTTTATATTCACTACCTGTCCAATTTTCTGTCTGTGTTAATTCTGTACCCCCTCAGCGTTATGTCAAAGGTAAGGGAAACACTTGCTCTGTGCTGGCATATCATCAGGTGGCCATTTTAAACATAGTCACTTTATGAATTATGCATAAGTATTAATGTGGGCTTCATTTACACACAATGGAGATGAAATGGAAACATGGGTGTGAGATATAGCTGGCTTGGTTCAAACATGGCGTTTTTTTCCTGCCTGTGGTACTTGGAACACATCACATGGAAATTATAATTTAACTCAGTGATTATATCATATAATGGGAATTGGTGACTACATTACAGCCTCATTATAACTCTCTATAGCGCAGATTTGTTTACACAAATGTTTATGTTGTAATGTGCGGCATATGCAAAATGGCTGACTTCAGAATCATTAGTTTGCCACCAACATCATTTCCTGCACACGTAGGAAGCAATCTGATGATTAGCCATTTTAGCTCCCAGTGCAAAAAAATATGCGGTATAAATGTGGCTATGTCTTGCTGTTACTAATCTCACTATTTGTGCTGTTATTACTGCAGGATTTAGTACTGCAAAGCCTAACATTTGTGCGCCGTTCATTGTATCTACTGTGTATTTTGCTTTTTGCTCCTTCCTCTGATGTTCTCATCTATCTATACTCTCACAGGCTTTTAAGTTCTTGCAGTCTTACATTCTTGCAGTCTTAATGGCTTGTTTTTCACCAGTTGGCTGCTGCTGTGCGATATCGTTAATAATCACCTTTAATTTAATTAGTTCAGCTAAATCACTTCAATTGTCTGTTGTCTGAGAGATCCAGGGGGTGTGTGCTTTTCTGCCTTGATGCTCTGTTTCCATACAAATCAAGCAAGTTGTTTTGTCACACGTATTTCCGTTGCACTCACAAATCTGTTACTAAGAAATGCTGTCAAGTAAACTAACTTCAAGTTGTTTACCGCTGCTCAGAATATTGTGATTAATATAAAGGATGGCAACAAACAAATAACACATACAATAGCTCTTTTCCAGTTGAATTCAGATTGGTTTGGGCACCTTTCTATTCTTTAAAATATGAAACATGGCAGAAAAAAATCATAAATTTTTGGACTCCATTTTCATGAATTGTAAATGATAGAAGCAGGAAAAGCAACTGCTTCTACTGGCAACCTTGAAGTAAATCAGTTGAGCTTTTTGTATCAGCATTCATCTTTTGTGGGAATAGGGCTTGAACTTACTTGAGTGAAAGTTAGCTGGGATGACTGTTGTAGTGTGTTACTGGAAATAATGTGTTCATTTTACAGCCTAAATCCCTGCACGATTGAATCCCTTTATGCTGTTTATTGATGATAAAGTGGATCTGTGAAAACCACTGAAAATTCTTAGTTTTCTACGAGTTCAGAAATTAAAACATTTTCCCAACAACAATAATAATAGTAATATTTTCCCAACAATAGCAAGAATGGTATACAATATATATTTGCACCAAAAATACTATCATGCAGAAGAAAGCAAAGTATCCTAACTGTTAGGTTTGAAAAATTAAATAAAAAATACTTTTTTAAAGGAAGGCAAACAAATGTGAGAGATATTTACACCCCTAATAATGTGCTTGCCATTAACAATACAGAGGTACCCTATTGAAGCCATTATAGAAGCAAGGAATAGGTCTAGAGACTTTAATTCATCTCTCAATAGAAACAGAATATCTGATCCGACATAGCACCAGCCCCCAGAACTTCTTGCCTTACTCTCTTTGGGGTTTGAGCTGTAGTTGGAGGGTCCACCATCTGCACCCCCACCCCCAACCCCTCCCCTCATGTCGATTCAACCGTGCACCATCTTCCTCTGAGGAGAAAGCTGCACATTGATTTCCTCATTGTGCTCGCTTCACTATGTCTGAGGACACATGCGAGACATGAATGTATTAGAACCCAATGTTCTTTTTGTCTCACCTTTGCTTGTGCCTTCAGCTCATTGAAAGCAATAATGTTCTGGCAGGACCATCTTGAAGCAGAGGCAACATTGACCTGGTGCCTTTGGCCCTAGGAAAGGAAATCCTGCTATATTCTGTGACACAGGATGCTTATGCCAGTTCTCCACCACATTTCAGTCTAATCCCCCTGCCCCCTTCACTAACATTTCCCATTGAAATCTGTGTTTCATGCAATGCTGCCACATCCTTAATGTCACAATTGAGGTAATTCTCACCTTCTTGTACTTTTCAAACTAGGATCGGAAACTCTTTCTGTAAACTACTTCAGGTCAGCTACAGTTCCATTAAAGATTGTGACCCTGTTGGAGACTAACACTGAAATAATTGCAAATTTTATGTATTAATGATTTATTGATTTTTAACAAAAAGATCACCATTCAGGCCCCTTTACTTACGAACCTTATTCTTGATGCAATCTCCAGCCAAAAGACTTTGTTCTTATAATCATAATAATAATCCATGCATTTGATATAGCGCTTGTCTCAAAGCGCTTCACAGAATATACTGTAAAATGAATTGACTGCATATTTTTTTGTGTGGGCGAGACACGGCAGCCAGTTGCGCACAGCAGTATCCCACAAACAGTCGTGGATTGAAGTGACCAGTTTATTATTTTTTNAATATTATCAGGCGTGTAGAGTAAGGAAATTGGCCCAAGGTTTCACCCTGCCGAGAATCGAACCCAGGTCTCTCGCTTGCAAAGCGAGTGCTCTAACCACTGAGCTGTAGGACTCCACAGGACTCCACTTATTGCTGCATCCAAAGATTGATAAGTTACCCATAATTCACATTTGCACTGCAAAGGCTTTAGGGAGGCTGTTGCTCATGCTCTTATTCATGTCCATTTGTTTTCCCTTCTTTTGTCCCTCTCTCCCCGCTCACCCCCGTCCCCCCTCTATTTCATCTGCTCTTAGTTTGATGAAAATGTAATATTAATCTGGAAACTTGAGTCAGGGAAATCATCCAATGGTTTTATCTTTGAATAAAAATATAGTATTTTATCTCTTAATTAGCATTGCTTATGTCAGTCATAGTGTCCATTGCATTGAAATAAACAGTGCCTTGTCCCACTTGTATGACGTTTGCAATGCTTTGTGTCGCATTATGTTAAATTTTCGAGAGGAAAACATTTGTTAGCAGCACTTGGGAGGGGTCTGTCCTGTCCTTGCAGTGTGACTTTTGATCTGATTTATGTTCACTACAGTGTAATCTGGTTACAGTGAGTGGTGGTGGTGCTCGTGTCAGGCAGCACAACTGGATGCAACCACAGATTGCTTTCAGCGTGACAGATGTCACTCAAATTGTACCGTAGTGCTTGTTGGAAACATTCAGAGACTTGGAGGAACTATTCTGCAACAGATTTGTCGCAGCCTAATGCTGTGCATTTAAGCTTATGAATGGAAGTGGTTTGGAATCAAATGTTAAATTACAGTTTATCGCGCTGTATCAAATGCAAAGATTATTATTATTATTATCAATGCACAAGTTTCCTCTCTTTTGCTGTAGTTTATCTGCCTTGTGTATCCCTTTCAATCCCTCAAGCCTATCTTTGCCTGACTAAAGTCACTGTGATATTATGTCATAGGCTTTAATCACTCATTTAAAAACTTCTAAGAGGTACTCATTTAATATTTTTACTTTCTTGTTAGCCTTCATTTTGAACTCCATTTGGGTTCTATGGAGACTTAACTTCTCTGACTACCTACTTGCAATTTATTAGAAGAATTGCTTTGGCAATGTGGTTTACATCTGCTTTTATGACCCTCTCTTGCCTCCCCTAATTTTTTTTATCAGCTGCTGTATAATCTTGTGCTTGACGCTCCCTCTCCCTGCAAGTTGTAAATCTTCCTCTATTTCTTAATATTGCTTTTAATTTTCCTGCTGCATTTTAGTGATTTCTCTTGTTTAATTTGCCTTTCCTGGCCAATTCACTGACAATCCTACAGATAATTTTTTTTTAATTAATTTACTTGCTGTTTGTCAGACTGCTGTGTGCTAGTTAAGTGCTACATTTTTCTACAAATACACAGTTACTACACTTGCAGAGTTACCTGTGAAACACTCTGAGACACTTCAGTACAATAGGCAGTATTGTTATTGCTAAAGGCAGGTATAAAATACGAACATTGTGGGTGGTGACAAGTAAAGACAAGGTTTCCACTCTTAACGACAACTTAACATGAAACTGCTTTTGATGTGCAGTCAGGTCTTCGTTAAATTGGAAAGATGTGCGGAGAAATCAAATGCTTGGATCAGAGCACTTTGTAATAGGAGGGAACGTGAATGTTACATTAGATGTGTGTACTTGGATGGAATATGTGATTATCGAGTTTTGACTGTAAAATAGAATTGTGAGCCAAAGCTATTTTCATTCATTGGCATCCTAAAAAATCACTCTAAGGGTATTATCACTCCATGGACCAGGGGTTAAAGATAATCTGCAGAAAAAGCTGTGCTTGTGACACAGGTCCTTTTTCAGACATCGTTACTCCTTGTACAAGATACTGATGCTGCTCTGTGAACTAGTAATTACTTTAAAATAACACTGGCTTCCCAGTATTTAGATTCACATTCGTTTAATTTGAGCTGCGTTTTGCACAGCACTTGAGTACATAGGAAAGTCGGGGCCAAATTATAAACTACTCTAAAAATACAGTGGGGGTGAAATGCTGCTGACGTTTAGTAAATCTCGGAGTTCATGTAAAAATAAACCTCTTTTACTTTGCTGAACCCCTTATTTTCTGATATTTTTAATTATATTTATCCACAACTTGATAGGGCAATATAGAATCCCAATTCTCTCTTCCTCGTCCCTCATACAAACACTAGATTTTGTTCCAGCTGTTCTAGTATTGTTATGAATTATGATTTATGTAGGAAATTGTGCGCAATTAGCTGCCACGTTTCCCCCACAAATATATAGTAAATTCACTTTACAGTATATTCTGTTAAGCGCTTAGAGACGTCTAGAAGATGCAAGGATGATTATTATTATCATAAATGATGCCCATCATATTGCATATCGTTTGTGAGACTTATCATCTATGCGCCTAATGTTCTTGTGCTAAATGTTCAAGAGCAGTAATAATGATAATTATAATCCTTACGTTTGATATAGCGCTTTTCACATTTTCTAGACGTCTCAAAAAGCTTCACAGAATATACTGTAAAGTGAATTAACTGTATAATTGTGGGCGAAATGTCAATTGCGCACAGTAGTGTCCCACAAACAGTCGTGGTTTCAAATGACCAATTTTATTATTTTTTTCTCTTGATTATTATCAGGCATGTGGGGTAAGGAAACTTGCCCAAGACCCAGGTCTCTCCCTTGTGAGGCGAGTGCTCTAACCACTGAGCTAGAGAACCCCTCAGTGTCATTAAAATGAAATTAAAGGGATCTTTAGATAATGTTTAGGTTTAATGCCAGTACACGTGGCTGTTCATTGCATTTCAAAGTGTGATTCGCAGTTACAAAATTAGAATTAAGAATTGGATGAAATTATTCCTTGGTATTTTCCAGGCTCTGGATTTCAGTGATGACGAAATTGAGAAATTAACAAAGAAGAAGAAGAAGACACACAATCACGGAGAAAAAGCTACCAGGCTCGGTGAGTCACTGCCGGCCAAATTAACCAACCTTTTTATTTACACTTCACAAACCCAACTTCGATCCTGTGCAATTCAATGGCTCAGTTGAAAGTATCAGCTGTTATAAATGTCCCGCTTGTCAATAAATCCCATGTTTTAACGATTTAATTCTTTTTATGTGCGGAAACATTTGTTCTACTGCAGCACAATCAGTTATTTTGCTACCGTAATAAAAGCATTATGTCTTGCAGCTAAGCAATTGCTGAGAGCATTTTGCAGTCCATTGGCAATAGTAGCCTCCTGTATTTTGTTCCTTCCTCATCCAAAACCTGGATAAAGTAGCTTCGATCTGAAGCCTTGCAGAGCAGAATAAGGCAGCAAATCAAAGACTTTGAACTCACAGGACAATGCAATGCTTATAATATTTTGTTCCTGAAAGTAATTTCAGTATTTCATCTCCACGTGAAGACTTAGAGCTCCGAGTCGCCATCCAGCGTGAAGGGCACTATATAAATGCAAGTTGTAAGTTTTAAAATATAGGTTTTCCCTTAGATAGCTATGATTTTTTTAAAAAAATCATTAAAGACATACTGTCAAGAGATTGACGTCTGCTATCCCCGAGCTGCTTCTGACTGAAATACATGTTCAGTTAGATTTGTCGACATCAATGGATCTTCGTAGAAAAAAACATGGAATTTAAAACACTTTTGTCCAATCCTGCAAACAATTCAAGTGTCGGTGGATTTTTCCAAAACATAAGAAAAGCTACTTGACAGAAGAGTCACTGTAAAATAACTACAAAGCACCTCAAGAGGAATATTATAATCTTGTCATATTTATTATGTCATTTTGTATAAAACTAAAGGAAAGAGATCGGGATGAAAGTTTTGAGTCCAGTTTTTTGCTAGAGTTTGCATTTGGCAGTACTGTGCCATCTTTAACTGAAGTGCTGTACTTTTAAGTAAGCAATCTGAGTTTGAACATTAGTCTCAATATTGCTACATTCACAGCTCTGAGAATTAAAATCAACCTGTGTTGACTCTTTTAAAGAGGTATTGCTCTTTCACCCGCAAAATACAGGCATTACAATTTAGAAATATATGCCCTGTATGAAATGTTATATTATTATTTAGTCCCACTTCCTTCCCCTTTCCCCTCCATACCCTTATATTCAATTTTAAAATGTTTGTCCAATTACCTTTTAAAATATTCCTCATCAGCCATCGTTTGGGTGTGACGTTTTCCATGTGCTAATAAGGTGTGCAAAATAAATTCTCCTAACCTCTCCCTTAGTATCAGCAAATATCATATTCTTAATTCTAAGTTACTGACCAGTTACCAACCTACCAACAAGTGCAAATAGCTTCCATTTTTTGACCTTATTAACCTCAGCTGACCTCCCCACCCCTCCCACCTCCCTCCCTCTCTGCTAGCATTTTGAACACTTGCATAGATCTCTTCTCATCCTTCCCTATTCTGTGACAACAGACCCAGTTTCTGTAGTCTCTCCTCAATAAATCAAGCCCCTCATTCCTGGAATCATCCTCGTGAATCTAATTGGTTCCCTCTCCATGGTTCTGCTAGGAATCTATTGATTTCTCTGTGGAAGCAACCGCTCACTCACTGGTCAAGCAGCATCCCTTAGCATGTTGGTCAAAATGACATTAACTAGGGTTATGGGTTCCTGTTCAGCCAGAATAATAATAATAATAATAATAATCCTTGCATTTGATATAGCGCTTTTCACGTCGGGAGGACGTCCCAAAGCGCTTCACAGAACACACTGTAAAGTGAATTGACTGTATATTCTGGACCCCTATTTTGTTATTCAGTAGGCCTTTGGGGACTTATTTGTAACCAAATAAATGTGTCTAAAACAGGCACCAAAGTGCATTGTCTAACTTTTCCGGGCTTCGCAATCCACCATTCACAGAACCACTAACTGAAAGGGGAGAAAATATCCGTAAGCATGGAATATCAGAAGCATGGAATGTACAAGGTTAACTCGAGAGAGAGACCGAGATAGTCGACAAAGTCGATGTTACACATCAATAACAATTGGAGATTGAAAAACTTACAGCCAGATCTTTGATAACCAACCCCCCCACATGCTTTCCTGATAGCGTCTCAATACGGTGATACGTAGAGGTTGTGGAAACTTGAAGGATCTGATAATGACTTGAGGAACCGTAAGACTGATATCATCTAAGATCAGACAAGGGGTTTTTCGTATCATTTTCCTCTCGTCCTTGGAATATTTAATCTCTGTTTCAAAAGAGGCCACAACGTCATCCTAGCAGCTTTTCAGCCAGATCTGATCTATGAGACTGCAGAGTGGTGCAGTGCGGATTTAATAATTCTGTCATATGCTGAGCATTAGGTATGATTTGTGCCCAATAGCTCATTCTTTAATACCCATCTCTCCAGCAGTGTCTGACGCCAGCAATGTGGTTAAATCAACACACAAAATGGATGCAATAATGATCCTCAGAAACTGCTGGCTTTTGCAATCTGAATTACAATTACTATTCTTCTGATAAGAGTTTTAGTTATTTTTTAAAATAAAGGTTTTAATCTTATTTTTTACGGATATTTTCTCCCCTTTCAGTTAGTGGTTCTGTGAATGGTGGATTGCGAAGCCTGGAAAAGTTAGACAATGCACTTTGGTGCCTGTTTTAGACACATTTATTTGGTTACAAATAAGTCCCCAAAGGCCTACTGAATAACAAAATAGGGGTCCAGGCAGTAACAGAATATGATCTGATTCAGAAACTCATGAACCTGGGTATCGGAGATAAGAGATGTTAGTGGCTTTGTAGCTGGTTAAAGGGAAGGAAACAAGGATTCTTGGTAAGGGGTTTAGGTTAAAATAGGGGAGAGGTATTGACTGGTACCTGAGACCGGATCCTATTTTGTTCCTTATACACATTAATGACCTGGATTTGCAAACTTCCATCCATGCAAGGTTGTTAAACAATGATGGAAATAATCTAAATATTGCAATCTATTAATAATAATGTGGTCACTCAATCCATGATTGATTGTGGGACACTGCTGTGTGTAATTGGCTGCCGCGTTTCGCCCACAAAAATATACAGTCAATTCACTTTACATTATGTTCTGTGAAGTGCTTTGAGACGTCTTGAAGACGTGATAAAGCACTGTATCAAATGCAGTGATTATTATTACAGTCTGATTTGTGGTGATACATCACAGGAATAGTTAATAGAAGGGTAAGTTTGTCATTTTTCATAGTAGATTTGATCTAATAACTATCAATTTCAATTTCAATTTGTTATGAAATGTCACAAATTTAGCCCCTAAAAGACCATAAATGGGCACGCTCTGCACCACAGTGCTCGGGCATGGATCAGGATAAACTCAACACATTGTGAGACAGTAATGAATAGATGCACTACATTCTCAGTACAGTTGAGTTTAGATCCCCATAATTCAACCTGAAGCTGTGCAATGCTCTGGTCAGACCACGCCTGGCAGTAGTGCGAACACATTTCCAAAGTATTTTCCTCCTGACTAGGCACATGATGCAATAGTTTGTGCTCTGACTGCCCTCTGATTATATAATAATAATAATCATAATAATAATGGGGTGAATGTGCCTCCTGTCACTCATTATGACAATCTGCAAAGAAATCTGCTGATAAATAGGCCCAATTAGAGTGTGCAGGATAAGTTGCAGTTTTCCGAAGTACTTCTTTGCAACCCTGGGTAAATATCATTTAACAAACCAATAGAGAAAAGGCAACAAGAAGTTGCCTATAAATGTTGTTATAATTAGCAGTTAAACCAAGGTCACCATTGCATTGAACTAAACGTACCCAGACATGAGGAAAATACTGTGGTAATGCACCCAGACAAGAGGAAAATACTGTGGGAATACGCTTAGTCTCATTTAAGTGTGGCTAAAGACTTATTAAATCTTTATTTAATGGGTATTTTAGATTTAATTGCATAATATTTTCTTGATAATCTGTTGACAAGTATAAAAATGTCACTGAGCTAATATTGCACTACTATAATAATTTGTGGTTATATAGCGCCTTTGATGTAAAAAAATAAACATCTTAAAGTGCTTTACAAAATATAATTGATTAGAAATGAAGTGAATGTTGTTATACAGGCAACTGCAGCTGCTAACCTGTGCCAACAATATCCTGTAAACGACGATAATCTCTGCAGCCCTTACTTGAGTGTTCAATTTGTGTCGGTACATTCTTATATATATTGCTATTTCAATATTTTGGCAGTCAAAGCTGTGCTTAATCTTACTTCTGTTTGGTCAGAATCTGATTTATCAGTATACACAATATTTGTCCATACGATCACAGGTATTAATTGTTCAGTACAGAGGTTAAATTATCACTGATCCTTTGTTATTTCATAAACTCTCTGTTTCTATTTTGGAAAGAGCCCATCACTCTAGTCATGCTGTTATATAAGTATTGATGGCTGATTAGAAACATTTTAACATAACGTAGCTTGCATGATGATCCTGTCAATTAGATTCTTAGATCCTTTGAGCATTTCATTTATCATCAAAATTGATAACTATCTGTCCTTCCACTTTTATTGTCTTAAGTGTTGTGACATTGTTTCTATAATGATAATAATCCTTGCATTTCATATCACGTCATTGAAATGTCTCAAAGCGCTTCACAGAATATAGTGTGAAGTGGATTGACTGTGTTTTTTGTGGTCGAAACGCGGCAGCCAATTGCGCACAGCCATGTCCCATAAACAATGGTGGATTGGGTAACCACATTTTTTTTGAGGGTTTATTACTGCTGGAGAGTGATCCGCCAATTGACTATCAGCCGGGTTCCTACTTACTGCTAGGTAAACAGAATTGTGTGGAGCAAGGACACTTGCTTAAGCTTTCTATTAAGCTCTTCAGGTCTAACCTCATTGCAGAGGTTTTGTGTAACGTTTTAATAAATTCAGTCTCATGATCATTTCATTTCAATTTCAGTCGCTAATTCCGTTCAGTTGCTGGCACAAGAAATAGAATGGATATTGAGTCATACTTCTTTCATTCTTGCTTCTGTTTCACTTTTCAATTCAGTCATTACTGTTCCATCGCCAAACTCTCCAAAGTCGCTATTTCAAATCAGGGGTAAATATGCAGTTTCATCCAGTGGAGCCCCTTAATCAGTGTCGCTATCACAGTAGCTAAATACAGTGAAAACTGTGCTTCCCATTTAAATTGTTCAATTATACCTGAAGTTCATAAGCTATAAAACCATTACAAGTCCCGTGCTGGGCTTTTATCATTGTGGTATTATTCGCTTACATTCAACTCGTTGGTACAATTAAGTGTCATTAAAGGACCACATTTTGTGAAACGATTGCATGGTTAAATACGATAACAAGCTGTTTAATATAGTAGGAGGCATCAATTATATTTGACTCAAATTCACTTACAATTTTTCAGTGTGCACTGTGAATGCTATCATTTATTTTACGTGAATTTGTTGAAACATTATGGGTTATGGGTTTTCATAACTATTAAAATGCTATCCAACTTTCTACAGCTAAATGTCAGGAAGACCAAGGCTCTCCTGCTTGGCTCCCGTCAGTGCCTTCTCACCTCAGGCCTGACCCCATTCACCTGCATGGATGCTCACCTCACCTCATGGAACCAGTTTGGATCCATGGTCTTGTTTGATGCACAACTGTCCTGTGCGTATCAACAATAACAACAAATTTGCACTGATATAGCATCTTTCACATTGGGAGGAGGCCCCAAGACACTGGACGGTCAAGAGTTTGCATCCAAGTGGGGAGTTGAATTTGGGAGGGCTGGGGGCCTAGGGGGAAGCGGGGAAGATGACCGAAGGCACGGTCAAAGAGGAAGGTCTTTAGATGGACCTTGAAGGAGGTGAAGAAAGGGGTGAGCTGAAGGACCTCCAGGATAGAGGTTCAGGGAGAAAGCCTGAATGCTGCTGGTGAGGGTTGGCAGGGTTTGAGGAGGTTGCAAAGGTGGGGCAAGAGGGATTTAAAAATGAGGACGAGGATCCTCTGGGGGGTGGGGAGTCAGACGATGGGGGTGATAGGCTCACAGAGTCTGGCAGGAGATAATAATAATAATTCTTGCATTTGATATAGCGCTTTTCACATCTTCTAGACGTCTCAAAGCGCTTCACAGAATAGACTAAGGTGAATTGACTTTTTTTGTGGGTGAAATGCGGCAGCCAATTGGCAACAGCAGTGTCCCACAAACAGTCGTGGTTTGAAATGACCAATTTATTAATCTTTTTTCTTGAGGGATTATTATCAGGCATGTGGAGTAAGGAGACTTGCCCAAGGTTTCACCCTGACACGAACTGAAGAGTTCTGAATGGTCTGATAGCCTATCTTCCCCTCACCCCTCCCATCCTCGCTTGGCTCCACTAGCTCCCCATTCCCCAGTGGATCGAATTCAACACCAGCTACTTGTATTTATATAGCGCCATTCGCACGAGGTAGTGTCTCTGAGCGCTTAAATTCAAAATCCTCATCCTCATTTAAATCTCTCCAAGACCTCACTTTCCCCACCTTTGCAACCTCCTGCAAACCGTATCACCTCAGCCACTCCCTCCACGTAGCTAACATCAGCCTGCTTCATGTCCCTCAACTGATCTGCCCCACCATCAGTAGGCAAGCTTTCAGTGATTCTGCTTTGGGATATCCTCCCGATATGAAACACTGCATTAATGTAAATTGTTGTTCTGTCTATCAGTCATCTTGTAATAAAGGGAAATGACAGGCCTAGATTACTGGTGGTATGTGTTTTGGGTTCAATTAAAATGTGCTCATCATGATGCTTTTACTAATCCTTTCTGAAATTAGTCATCAATTGTCCTTAATTGTACAAGGTTTTAGTCCATAATCCCTTGTACTGGAATTGCACAGTGATGTGTTATTTTTACGCTTTATGTTTTGACTTTAAAAAGTCCATTTGCTGTTATAGGTTATGTTAATAATGCCAGTATATCTGTGTGATTGGTATCCATTTAGGAGGAAGTGAAGAAGGACAGCCTTGTCAGCAAAATCCAGTTTCTTCAATGCACAGGAGAGGCTTTCAACGCAGAGGATTTGGCCCTCGTCCGTCAAGTCATCAAAGGGAAGCCTACGGACCACCACTATTTAACCAAAGGCCCCCATCAAGACCACCAGTTAATATGATGCATTCTCAACCAATGATATCAAATCCAATGATGTCATGTCCTTATCCTCCACCATTTTGGCCCATGAACGTACGTGATATGTCTCCTTTCTCCACTCCCCCACCTCCGCCCCCACCTCCAATGTACAGTAACTGGTCAGAACCTAACATGGGGTACCCGCCTTGCTTTCCAAATTCTCACACATCTCGATTTCCAGGTGGTCCCTCTTCGCACATGCCAAGTCCTCCGTTCCCACCACCACCGTTGCCTCCACAAGGTTCTGCCTACAGACCACGCTATTAGAGAACCATTCATGTGTAATTGTAAAACTGTCTGAAGTGCCTCAATTGCATGGAAACAATCAAGTAATATTTCCCCTGAGGCAACAATTAGATCCAAATGTCTTCCAAATACCAGACTGTATTTAGAAATAACACACATTTTACGGTGTTTGGATCTATAAGGAGAGAGTACTGCTAATATAAAAATATAACTTTGGAGATGATTATGATCGGAAGCAGCTCAGAGATGCTCATCCCTCCGTGCTGCCAGTAGTCATTTTACATAACAAAATATTACTATTGTCATTCGTGTTTTTTTGATTATGTAAATAGTCATTAGGAATAGTCTGTTGCATGACTGTTTCTCGCACACGTTCGTATTTGCTGATTGACAGCACATCACTTGGGTAGCGAAGGTCAGACAGGTGCTTGTTAGGCCATGATTGAATCACGTCCTTGGAACGTATTATTGGCTTATTAATTCATAGCAGCTTTATTGCTTTCACTTACACTTGCCATCACTGAAATTTAAATTAGAAAGTAATATGTGTAAAGAAACATAGTTGGTATCAATGTGTTTGTGTTTATAAAATTAAGTAAAAGTCTTAAACTGTCCTATCCATGGTGTAGATGAGTCCTGGCTGGCAACCCCCCTACATACACACACACACTTCCTTTCGCTCGCTCCCCCCACCCCACCTGCCCCCACCAAAAAAANTTGTCAGTATTTGTTTGTTTGTGATAGGAAACTCTACGGCTTAAAGAATCCTAATGCCTTTTCTTGACCTAAAGTAACAATGAGTGAGAAAAATAGGCTGAACAATTTATTTTTGCTAAATTTTAAAAACCTGCTGAATTTTGTTTTTGTCAGAAATGCATAACATGGTCCTTTGACGTTTGATGCATAATAAACTCCGAACTCCATTTACAACTTTAAGTGTGATCTGCCTCACTGTTTCTCCTTATTTGCATTATTTCCTTTCCAGTTTATTTGTGCTCGCCACTTTCAAGACCCACCTCAAGACCCTCCTCTTCGACCGTGCTTTCGATCTCCCTGCTTCCCCAACCCCACCCTCCCCCCTCCCACACCACGACCCTCAGCTCGGGTCCGTAACTCTGTCTGTCCAGCACCTTGGGAAGTCGTCCCGATGTGAAAGGCGCTATACAAATCTAATTTTATTGTTATTGTTGCTACTAAAGTCTACTCACACTCTTAAGTTCTGTTGCAATATTCATGTATTTACATTGAGCCCAATCTGCAGCTTTAATATTGTAGCATGTACCCCCCTCCCCGGCCAGGCAGATACGGACGCACACAGGACTTCTGGCTAGAACAACATGGGTTTAATCTCTCAGGGGGGATCCGGGGAACCAGTAATACAACACAACAACATAAAATGTGGGACGGTGCAGGAATCTGGGCACTGAATACATGGAATAAATAGGCTTTGCCTTACCCCGCTTTCAAGAGGGAAGGGCTCAGTCCACTGGCGACCTTTGCATGGATCTTGGAACTGGAATACACATTCTGAATAAAATCCAGGATTTGGCCTTGCACTACCATGGCTTCCCGTTTCATCATGAAGGCTTCATGAGGCATTAGATCAAAAGCCTTGCGGAAGCTGAGGAATGTAACAGGTTTCCCCTTAGCCTTACAAAGTTCTGCGATCTGTGAGATCCCATTAGTTCTCGGTCTCACTAGGGTCATCCTTGTTGACAGACACCACAATTACACTCTGGAACGCTGATGGAGTGCGTGCCTCAGAGACAATCCTATTGACTAGCACGAGGAGGGCAGCTCCAAGGCGAGTTGGAGGTTCCTGCCTTGGATTCGTAAGATCCTCACCGATCTCCCATCTTCTTCCTCAGAGCAGCTTTTAGAAGTTGAGCATTAAGCTGCCTTGCCATTAGCAAGGCCCCACTGTGCGAAATCCACCTCCTCCCAATGGATTGGGTCGTTAAGGCTTTCAATCTGTTCTGTGTCTCCCGGCAGATCCTTCAACCCCCAATGCAGATGGATCTTTGCTATAACCTGTTGGATCAGCTGTCAACTCAGCGTAATCCCTCTAGACCTCAAGAATACCCTCATGGGTCTGTTGTCGAACCAGAATTGTCCCAACACTGGCACGAGCCCAGAGGGGCCCTTCCGGACATGACTGACAACCACTTCAATATTATTATTATAACATAGTTACAAAGTGGGTCCATTCTTGAAAGATTTGGGATCCCAAGTCATACTATGTCAGATCCTGTGGATGTGCCACTTTTCTTTTCCCAAACCTCAATGGTGGATGGAGGGGGATGTGTAGGAAAGACCAGCCAGAGGACGGTTGGGGTTTATCCCAGTGCCAGGACCCACCCAAGGAGCACATTACCAACTCATGGTAAGTCAGCAGCACTTTGCCCTCTGTTGGTTGCAATTCGAGCAAATGGAATGTTATACAAATTGAGCCCCATCTCCGTATGGTTGCATTTGCAAGCACGGAAACCATCCTGTGTTAATTAACCCAAGGTCATATCTGGCTGTTAAAGTGGATGTTGAAGATCCTATGGCAATATTCCAAAAGAGAAGGGAGTTTTTTCCAATGTCCCAGTGAACAATTCCGCCAGACAAAAATTGGTCACTCATATTATGGTTGTTTGTGAGATATTGCTGTGTACAAATGACTGCATTGTTTCCTCTACAAAATACAGTCAGTAAATCCTGTAAAGAACTTTGAGCAATCCACCTGCCATGAAAGTCGTTATCCAATGCAAGGAATATTATTTGAATTCCTGCCACTTGCTCTTGTTCTTTGCTGAAGGGAATGCTCTGAGGGCTCAAAAATAGACTTTTAAACCACGCACAAGAGTGCACTCACTCGTATATTAGAAGAAATAGGTTGTGAATGCAGTCATAAAGAAATGATTGTACCTGCACGTGACTTTTCCCAGTTGTAAAAAGAAGCAGGGTTTTATTTCAAAATAAAATATTAACTGTTTCAGGCAGGAATACACCATTCATCCATCTAGCCTACTCATAAAATGTCCCAAAAGATTCCATTGACACATTTTTTATATATAATAACCTCAATCATATCAAAATGCTCTCCTAAATGAAAAACCTACTGGAAGTAACCCCATGATATTCCCTACCAGCTCTTGTGTGAGCATGGAGTATGTGATATGATTATTTTTAAGGAGCCCTGATCTTTTAGATTACTTTTTAATGCTAGTTTCTCAGTTGTTAAGAAAAGGATATAGAAGACTGGGGCTGCTTAGAATTATACATGTCAGGATTTATTTTTAGATTGATTATCCCATGGCAATCGCAAGGAAGTTAAGATTTGCTTAGGGAGATTAGTAATAGCTTTCAAATTGACTTTGAAATTACATTTCTCTAGTTGTCTGATTTGTGCTTTTTTTTTCCCCTTTAAGACTTATTGACAGTTATGTTGCCATCACCTGCCCACTGAGGAAAAAATATCTTGTGAATGCAGTCATAAAGAAATGATTGCATTTGAAGTGGGTAAGACGATAATTCTAATAAGGCACAAAAAATCATATTCATGAAACATTTGACTTTGAGCAAATGAAGGGAGTGCAGTACGAGATCTGCCTATTGAAAAGCCTATTGAAAAGACAACATTTCTGCCTTTTCTGCAGATTCTTTTTCCACAAAAAAACTTCAAAATTGTTTGTTTGAACCCACAGATATTTGCCATTGTAGAGTGGGCTTAACACTCACTCCATAGATGGATTCTATGTATCAATCCGTTAAATAGAAATTTTAAGCACAATCGGAGGCCGTTGTTTCATCATGATTGTTTGCTGTATTGGTATTTTAGTCATCCTTCTTTAATCCCACTTTTTAGCTATTTCCCCCAAAATCTCATGCTCTATTGACTGAGCTGTTGCATGTTCTTTCCCCTCGGTAGTGGGTGGACAGAAAACTTACTACAGTCATGGAAGCCTAGCAAAAGTGTGCCTATAGAGCATATCCGCAGATACCCTCTACCCTACTCTCGTCTGCTTTCAGTCACTGCTCTGTTAGTCTTCCAAGTCTCAGTGCTTCCTTGTCCTGTGAGTGGAGAACGTAGAAACTTAAAGCCATCACGTTCATTATTCCTGGGCTGGGCGAAACCTGAGGCAAGTTTTCTTACTCCACATACCTCTTTATCTAGCATTAACTAGGAACACGGTTGTTACTCAATTGTCAGATCACTTTTCTGGGGTAAAAATCCGTTCAAATAAATAAAAGGAAGGGAGGAAGGAAGGAAGAAAGAAAACTAACTAACTAACCAACTAACCAACTAAGTCACTCAATCCACGACTGTTTGTGGGACACTGCTGTGCACAATTGCCTCCTGCGTTTCATCCGCAAAATATACAGTATACTCTGTGAAGTGCTTTGAGACGTCTCAACGACGTCATAAGGGCTCTATATCAAATGCAAGGATAATTATTATTGTGTTCATCAAAAGGCTAAACGTGCCATCTGAATTTCTTTGGATCATCACATGTTCCATTCCTCATAGAAGGATTACTTTCTTTTCCACCATTGCTTTCCCCCACACCTTCCTCAGCTCCATGCCACGATACTCAGCTCATCCTATCATCTGGCTCTGTGAAGCACTTTGAGGTGTCCTGATATGAAATGTGCTATATAAATACAATGTCATTTTTGTTTCTCTTTGTAGTGTCAATAAACGCTTTCTTCTTGTTGTAACTTCAGATGTATGGTAAATACTTGCTACCCGTTTTCATACAGTCTCCACAACCCCTGCTCTGCTCGTCTCCTGACTCAGCCCCTTCTCCAAATTGCCACCTCCAATGTATGTAGAGGTCTTTGCTGTATTTGCCACACCTTCGTCCATTCCGGGCTGGACTATTCCATTGCCCTCCTCGCTGGTCTCCCCAGCTCCACCACACAGAAAATCCAATTAATTAAAAATTCTGCCGCCCGATACTCACCCGCACAAAACTCCGTACCCCCGTCCTTGTCAGGCTCCATTGGCTCCCAACCTCCAAACGGATCGATTCCAAGATCCTCTTGCTTATTTTCAAATCCATTCATGCCCTCACACCTCCCTACCTATCCGACCTGCTTATCCCCCCACTACGCCTCCACCCGCTGACTCCACTCGGCTGGCTCCGGCCTCTTGTTTGTCCCTTGTGCCCTCCGTTCCACCACCTTCAGCCACTACACCCCAAAACTCTGGTATTCTCTCCCTCAATCCCTGCACCTTGCCCCCTTCCTCCCCACCTTCAAAACCTGCCTAAAGACCTTCCTTTTTGATCGTGCTTGCGGTCACCGGCCCCTTCCCTCTTTCTCTGGCTCACTGTCAGACCCTGCCACTGTGAATCACTCCGGGAAGCTAACCCGCATGAAGGGCACACTATAAATGCAAGTTCTTTCCTCTAGCTCAGCCTTCTGTGCACTGTTGTTGATTCGGAACCAAACCTTGAAATGTATGATGAAAAAAGATTGACTTCAACAAAGGCTAAGTGTACATAAGTCTGTAAATAGACGGTGAAATAAATGAGCTCCCACGTCTGCTTCAATGCATTTGTGATGACCTTGCTGCTTATTGCAGGTTCCATTCGAGTCATTTGAGATTTCCAATGTGTGGACCAAAATTTATAAACAAGAACTCAGTACCTTTCCCACATGATATGATAATCCTTGGGTGCCTTCTGCATTCATAGTAAATCGGAATACAATTGATACGCCAAAATTTAAGGAAGGTCAGGAAAAGATAATTTTGGGAAAGAAAAGGCCAAATGTTTTTCTTTATCTGCAGGAAACATTTAACCCATTTGTAAGGACATGGAAACACTCTGAGCCCTGACCAGAGTTAATCTTCTTGTCACTTACTGGGAAACCTTCACGATTCATTTTTAGTTTTAATTTCAATTACAATTTCTGATCTTGTTAAGGGCAAAGGACAAAAATAA